AATCATTTTGCTTAAGTCCACTTGAACATGTCATTTGGGGAGAAGATTGAAGTAAAGTATGAGATAAGGAGCTCTTCTCTCTGTTACTTTTTTCTGTTCTACCATCTTCTCATGGTTCACTTTTTTCTTGAAACCAAGATGAGGCAACTTTCTTCTAGGAACCAATGCTGCAGCTTCCAAACTGATCTACCCTGAGCTCCATACTTGCTGCTGGTGTGTCTCTCAACATCATATTTGATCTTGTTCTGTTACGTTTTTGGAGAGTCATCCAGCTCTTGGAGAAACACATGGACTGCCAAGTCCTAAGCCTTTTACATCTTTCTAATTATAAATAATATGTATATGTGTATGTATAAATACACACCCACACACCATTAGGTTGAATTGAATAAAAATAATCCTGTTGAGTTTAAAATATAACTCAGTTTGGAACTTGGAGGGAAAAATTCCAATGAGAGACAATTTCTCGTGATTTTACCAAGCTCTGGAGTAGTTTTTCACCTGTTTGGTAAATGTTTGCATTCCAAAAATCAGTTGAAAAATGAGTGCCTACATATTAAATAGAAAATCCCTCTTGAACACAAGAGGTCAGACAAAACTGAAAGATACACCAGCATTTCCTATGCTAGTGTTTCTATTATTAAAATTACAGCATTAGACTTCCTCTAAATAGAAACAACTCACTGGGACTCCATTTCAAACATTACTTCTTTACCATTTGATGTCTTCATAAACTGCCAATGACAGTTCAGGAAAACAACATTTGGGTTGTTTCTCTTCCAGCTTATTTTAATAATGCCTCAGCTTTTCCTCAATTAATTGGAAATGGAATAAAGAAAGCTTCCACTCATGGACTATTTTGTGTATGCCTTTGAGTCAGCCCATACAGTTTTCTTGGCAAGATGTTTAAGAGTGGTTTCCTTCGTCTTCAGAGAATAACTGGTCCAAGTCACGTAAAGGACTTCATGCCTAAAGTGGAACTAGTTACTAGAACATATGCTCTCCTGTTTTGGCATTGGCATTATATCAAACTGGTTCCCACATGTATAATGATTTTATATCATTCAGTCCTGAACAATATCCCACTACAACATTTACTCATATGTAGATTAAACTCAATAAAAGTTCTCAAGTTTTGTTAATTAAAAAAAACCCCTCTACTACCAAGTTCAGCCTGCTTAGTGTTTCCTGTTGAGAATTGGTGGGGATTATTGATATATTTGTTTTAATTATTGGACAGTATTTCTAGGTGTTATTAAAATGACAGTTTGTCTTCCTACAAGAAGTAGGATTACCAATTTCCTCTTCTTTTTATAGAGGAATACTATTTTGCTGTAAACAATTGCATGAAGAAACAGTAACAATGAATGGAAAGCAATAACAAAGCCCGTTTTCCATGTTGGAACAGAAATAGATGTTGGAGCTATTAATAGCTTTTTAAAAAAATGATAAAATCAAGTTTGATTCCTGGTGATTACATTGACACATAATTAGCTCTTCTGTGCTAATTGTCTACCTGTGCTCAATAGGAAATGGGTTACATTCATAAATAGAACAATTTTAATTAAAGGTCACAGATATTTAAAAGCTTCAAAAGTTTTGTGCCATTTTTAAGCATACATTTAAGCAGGTTACCACTACAGTTACGTTTCATTATTTTTTAAAAAAATATGAAAAAATATGGGAGCACAAAATACTCTGTAAAATATGAGTGCACAAAGAATAGCAGTTCCTGACAAAACTGCTGGACTTTGAAGTCCCTTCTCTTTGCTAAGCACAGCATGAGTAAAGATTATTAGGTTTGAAATAATAACAAAGCTCTATCTGCAGCAATTGACTAATAAAGACCATTTCATATATACTAGTTATAATCTGATATTTCTGACATTGAGATGAATTTGTCACAGTGAATCTATTCTCCTTTGCTGTGAGTTGTTATCTTCCCTGTGGCCATATCATTGATGTGAAGTCTCTTACTTTAGATACTAAATCTCAAAAGTGGGAGGAAAATAGAAAGGGAATTGCTCCTAGAAAGGAAGGGAGGAGAGCTGAAATGGCAGAGAGATAGAACAAACTTGTTTTCCTTGTCCGGTTGTTGAGAATATATTTGGCCAAACAAATGAAGATTTCTTTCGACAAGTTGCTGGGATAGGCATAAAAAAAACAGTATAGCTCACGCTACATCTCTTCAAGGCTAGCTGTGTTTTTTCCGGGTCATAGTGGGATGAATCTATCCTCAAATCCACAGCCTGACGACAATTTACTGACATTGAGAAAAATCCTGATTGGAATTGTTTGGCTTTGCTGCAGGGAGATTTCCCCTTTTCTCATCCTTCCTGTTCAACTTGGCAATGCTGGACATTCCTAGTAGCCTCCAGTTTTTCTGAACCCAAATTTTTAAACTTTTCTATGCAGTTGCCAGGTTTAAAAAAAGGAACACTCTAAAAAAAGATACAGTCAAATACCAATCGCAGGGCTTTGGTTGTTGTTTTTGTTTTAAATAACTGATTAATTAAAAATGCCAAATCACATTTAAAGGGGGGAGAGACTTCATTTTTAAATCAAAACCAGGCCTACAGAAATGAGCAGCTAAGTTGTCTTTGCCTTTGCAGCCTCAAATAAATTTCTTTTAGCTCAGCTCCAATAGCTGAGAAGAAAAGGACTTGAAATGACAAGGCATGGATATTAAGGCCAATGTGAGGATTATTAAGGCCCCCTCAGCATTCTGGGGAGAAAGAAATCAGCTTCTTGTATATGAGACGGGGTAACTGATCCATTGCTCTGTTTCAGTCATACACAGTTCCAGAATTCTAAATCCTTTGGGAATAGAAAAGGTTCATGGTTGCAAAAATTATCCTTATTATGTGAGGGACTGGGCAGAAGTGTGTGCTCTAATTGTATCACCATTGCCTTTTCCTTCCTGGAATGCCTGGATTACTTCATGAAAGTCACCTTGGAACTTCCTGTTTTTTCACTGGCTGCTGTTTAGACTGGCAAAGAAGCTCACAACCCCAGAGACAGAATCAGGTGTGCTATTTTAAATATGTGTTTATGTGAGGGAAATTGTCAACTTTAATCTGCTAATGGAGTGACAGTTGCACAGTCTGCATCAGTGTTTCTCAACCGTGGCAATTTGAAGATATGTGAACTTCAACTTCAGAATTCACCAGTCAACCATGAAGACTTGTGGACTTCAAATTCTTGGCTGGGGAATAACGGTAGTTGAAGTCCACACATCTTCAAATTGCTGAGATTGAGAAACTCTGGTCAAGATAACAGAATAACAGAGTTGGAAGGGATTTTGGAGGTCTTTTAGGGAAATCCCCTGCTCAAGCAGGAAACCTTTTAACATTTCAGACAAATGGACGTCCAGTATTGGAGCACCCACAACTTCTGGAGGCAAGTCGTTTCACTGATCAATTGTTCTCACTAACAGGAAATTTCTCCTCAGTTCTAGGTTGGTTCTCTCCTTGATTAGTTTCCATCACCATCTCTGCTGAGAGCCTTGGGGGCAGGTAATGTTCCCACCCCAGCTAAAATGCTGAGGTGACTATGAAAGTGTTGCTGTCCTTTTGTAAATACCTTCTGCTTTTATCTTTCATGAAAGACTTCTGCAGTTTGGTATTTTAATAAGGCAGACTATAAACTGTTTAGAAATACAGGACAAGAGAGCAGGACAGTAAAAACATGTCTGCATGACCTGAGGAGAAAGGATCCTCCCAAATCATTTCCAGCTTTCTTAAATTGTATTTTCAGCTTTTTGTTAAAGAAGTCACGTTAACAGAAAGGTTATTTTTGTCTCTTGAAAATGATTTTCTCTTTCTTCACTTATCCCATCCATACAGATTCCATCAATTTCTTTATTCTTGCCATTCCTAGCACATACAGGGCAGATGGTTGGGAATGAAGGAGATCATTTGGGAAAGACAGGCAACTAAAAACAACATTTCATTTTTGAATGAATGATAAAAAGCTGAAAAAGTCATTGTTAAAGCACAAAATAGATGTTATCAGACTTCATCAAGCAGAATATCACGCCTATACATTCATCAAGCCATTTCTCAGCTTAAAAAAAAAGATGGGGAATATTTGGCTCATTTCAAGAAGGTGAATACTGTGGAAAATTCAGAAGGATTGAGCACAATTCTAAGTATCCATATTTATTGCAACAATCATTGGGTGCCTCTTTTACAAGAAAATAAATGGAAAGCAAAGGTTTTTTGTACAGAAGTTGAAAGCTACAAGGCAAGAAGTCCTAGGGGATTTGATCTGCTGGTCAGTTTGAGGAAGTCAGGGAGGTACTTGTCTGTGTACCTGGGGTTGTTTCTACTGCTTGGCAAAAGGACCCTTTCAAGAGTTGCAGGAGTTCATGCTAACAGAGAGAGAATCGTCAGGAAAGTTTCCCTGATTGAGGATGGATTTTCTACATTGCAGTTCCCTTGTAGAGGCTGCCTTGTACTATGAACTGTGAGCAAGGCTTCTATCCTTTGATTTAGATAGGATTGCAGGGCCTTTGAAGGTAGGGTGGGTTAATTTGTGCCCAATGGAATTAGACAAAGAAAGAAGCTGGATTTGGTCCCGAAAACGTCCAAAAAGATAAGGAGGAAAAAGGATGCACCCTTCATTTTGTTTGTTAGATTTATTTTCTCCAGCACAGTGGACAAATGTCAAGAGTGATTGTCTTACAATAAATACATGATGATGGTGGCCATTTCTGTCCTTTGCAGACATCAACTTAAATTTTTTGGAGCTTCAAATAGAGCTTCAGTTACTGCAATCACATTCCAGGGACAGAGGAACAAACTTTTGGGAGCAATTATTCTCCAGTCAAAGTCTTCTTCCTCAGAGTTTGACTGGAACAGCGAAACCATAGATTGAATGGTTGGCCAATCCTTTTTTTTTAGAGAAAGAGAAAGGGGGAGAGAAGGGGAGGGAGAGAGGGGGAGGGAGGGAGTGGGGGAGAGAGGGAGAGAGAGGGAGAGATTGTATGGGAACCTCGCTACATCCTGTTTCTGCTAATTTTAGTAAACTTGAGATTTTATCATCAGCCCAAAGGTTAATCCAAAATTCTAAGTCACTGTTGCCCCCTGAGGTTTACAAAAATCATAGGACTGATTATTCTGGCCCAGCATCAAAGAAAAGGTATAGCAACTATTCAAACCCATACAATACATCCTATTCTCCACTTTTCCTTGTTGTATCTAATAATTGTTATATGTTAAATGGTATAAGGTTTCCTCCTTGAGGAAGGGCTTGGACTAGAAGACCTCCAAGAAGACTTCCAACTCTGTTATTCGGTTATAATTATAATAATTGTTATAATACGGGACAGATGACATGATTCTCATCACTCATAATTCACTGATGGCTTCTTGCATGTTAATGAGAACCCATCCTACAGAATCCTCTTTCAATTAGATGAAGGCATATATGCAAAATATGCAGTCTCATCCAGCAGGGAGAAGATTAGGATTGGGGGGTGGGGGGGGAGAGAGAAGACTAGCTTTCAAAAGCTGCGAGAAAAAAAGAGACTAATGAAACAAGTTCCCAGGAGTCAAGCTCTTTTTTCTTAAAATGTTTTTTTTATATAATCCCAGAATAAACCGAGGATGGGAAGTCAGCCAGGGGTCCGTATCGGATCTCCTACTTCCAGCCTCTTATTCTGCCCTCTGACGTCTCCAAATTGCTTTCTGAAGCAAAGAGGGTTTTTTTTCAGTCTATCAAACATGGGAAAGTATTCCTCTTTTTTTCAGCCTCTGCTCAACTCCTCACGTCCTCTGGCAAGCCGTCTAGCTGAGAAACTCCAAATTATGTAAGGATGCTGGAAAACAGAGCGCCAGAAAAAAAAAAGGGGGGGGGGACAACGATGACAATACATGAAATATTATGAGAAAATATTATAATTGTGATTGTTAATTATTATAGCATCAACTATTATTAATAATTACAATTACAATATCTTCTCATAATGCTGGGCAACAAAATTCTTTTTTCTTTTAAATCTGTTTGATGAAATGCCTATGTATATATACACACGCCTACAAATATACACACATATATTAGAAATTATCTCAAAGGAGAAGAAAACTTTAGAAAAAGTTGAGAAAAAGTAGCAAAAGATTGTGTATGAATGCCCTTTATACATTTCCCTCCCCCACCCCCACAAAAAAACTGAAGCATCACAGGATTCCCAGAGTTCAATTAAATCTCAAGGGCAAACGTGACAGTACTGCTCCCACTGGGAGCTTTTTTTTTCTTTTTTCTTTTAACAATAATGTTTCATGGCAGATAATTCCCTTGGGAAACAATTGGAAAATTTCTCCTTTCCTAAAGTAATTTAAAGGCATTGCCATACTATTTATCAGCCTCTAAATTTGGAAGAGCATTTCAAAATCCCATTTATCTCCTGCCCAAATTATTTATTCTTTTTTAAAACATCCTTGATAGTACAGTGGTTTAGCGCACCCTGTTATTAACACAGCTGCCTGCAATTTCTGCTGGTTCGAATCTCTCCAGGCTCAAGGTTGACTCAGCCTTCCATCCTTTCTAAGGTAGGTGAAATGAGGACCCTGTTTGTGGGGGCAATAAGCTGACTTTATATAAAATATACAAAAGAATGAAGGCTATTGCTTAACGCATTGTAAGCCGCCCTGAGTCTCCGGAGAAGGGCGGCATATAGATCAAATTAAAAAAAACAAACAAACAAACAAAAAAAAACACCATCCCAAGACAATTAGAAAAACGAATGATGCTGGGTGAAAGTCAGACTGCTTCATTCCTGGTTCCTTATTAAAGTCAAAATGTTGTTCTCCTGTGATTGCCAGAATCTGGAATGTCAGAAACATGTTAAGTAGCTACAGATAGTCCTCGACTTGCCACAGTTTTGTTTAATGACCATTCAAAGTTACAACGGCACTGAAAAAAGCAACTTATGACCGTTTTTCACACTTACGACCATTGCAACAACTCCATGGTCACATGATCAAAATTCAGATGCTTGGCAACTGGCTCCTATTTATGACAGTTGCAGTATCCCGGGGTCATGTGATCTCCTTTTGAGACCTTCTGACAACAAAGTCAATGGGGAAAAAGAATCACTTAACAACCGTGTAACTAAATTAACAACTGCAGTGATTCACTTTAACAATTGTGGCAAGAAAGGTTGTAAAATGGGGCAAAACTCACTTAACAAATGTCTTTCTTAACAACATAAATTTTGGGCTCAATTGTGGTCGTAAGTCAAGGACTACCTGCACTTGTATCACCTGATGAACTACACGCATTGGTTGATTCTCAATCCTCAAGGAAGCAGTATTAAGTTTGATCTGCACAAAAAGAAGGCCTAGTGGTTAGGGCACCAGGCTAGAAACCAGGAGACTGTTCTGGTTCTAGTTCTGCCTTAAGCAAGAAAGATGACTGGATGATTTTGGGCCAGTCACTATTTTTCAGTCCAACTCATCTCATAGGGTGGTTGTTGTGGAGAAAATAGGAGGATGAAGGAGTGTTAGGTATGTTTGCCGCCTTCAGTTATTTATAAAAATAATAATAGAGGAATATAAATAGATAAAATAAATCATATTTCAACAAAAAAAAAAAACCACCTTCAGTATCCACAGTTTCCACAGAGATAAAATATTGCTAACCGTATTTCAAAATACTATTAGAATTTCAAAACAAGAAAGAGCAGGTATTTAGTGACAAAATGAAGATAAGACTGAATTATCTTACCACGTGAGAGAGAATTGCATATTGACAGATTCCGAACTGTGGAGATTTGGGAACTCATTTGGCAGTTACTAAGTAAGCCTCCCACTTTCCTGAGCCTAGCAAAACAATCATTATTTCGCATTTATCATAACATCACATTTAGAAGTTGGCAAAGCTAAGCCCAAAAGCTATTTGTAGTCATAATTCAACTCACTTGAGCTTCATGATCAGACAGAGGAGCCTTCTAAAAGAGGAAAGAAAAAATATATATTATTCACTCAAGGTTTGAAAGAAGATTGAATACAAGGGATTATTTGCCTTCCTCTGCAGTTTCTTTGAGTAAAGGAAGAGCAGGGATAAATGCCAGCTTCACATCTTTTTTCATAAGTAGCAGGGGTGGCCACCTAAAGTGAAGAACTTCTACCTGTAAAGCTCTCTACTTGATTTAGGATAGTGATTTTCCAGAGCCATTACTCCCAGGAAGAATCTTTACTTACAGAAGAGGTTGTCCATTCCATTTTGGTGGTCTAGAGGGTAAAATGAAAAAATGGGTCTATTGCTCAATCTCTTAAATCTCTTAAAGAATCAATCCCAAGTCTTCTTGAGACATGTGGAATGAGTTACGTCCAGTAAAAGGGGTCACTTCAGGCATTTACAAAGCTAGTATCAGAACATACTGGTTTCATAAATGCCTGAAGTGGCCCCTTTTACTGGGGGTAACTCATCCCTCAAGAAGACTTAGGATTTGTTCTTTCTGGCTGTGTTTACATATTGTGCTAAGAGAGCCAGAGTGATGGCTATGGTGTTGGGATTTAGACCAGGAAGATCAAGGTACAAGTTCTCATTTGAACATGGAGCTCACTCAATGACTCTGAGCCAGTTATTTTCACTCAGCCCAACCCATCTCACAATGTCGGCTGACGACCCCCAGGGGGAGGGCGTTCTCTGTGGGAGCCCCGACCCTCTGGAATGGATTGCCCACTGAGCTCAGGACAGCCCCCGACCTTCTTTCCTTCCGCCGCGAGCTGAAGACGTGGCTCTTCCGCCAATTAAACTGATCCGTTTGGGGGTACACTGGTATAATTTTAATCGATTTTTAACTGGGTTATTGATTTTAATTTTGTATTGTATTGTGATTTGTATTGAAGTTGTCATTTTGTAAGCCGCCTTGAGTCCCTAGGGAGAAAGGCGGCATATAAATCGCAATAAATAAATAAATAAATAAATAAATAAATAAATAAATAAATAAATGATGTTATTAAGCGATAAAACTAAAGAAGACTCCAGGTAGGCTATCTTGCACTTAAAGAGAAAAGGTGAGATGTAAATTCAATGAATATATAAAATAACAAATAAAATTAATATGGCTAACTGAACACACTAGATTCACCTAATATACTGAATCATTGGCTAAGCACATTGGCTGGCCTGGCATAATGCACTGAGCAACAAACAAGCCAATCTCAGCTTCCGAAGTGATAAATCTATGTAATTTCAGATAAAGAATGATAGGGTTTACTGCCTCTTCTGTGTAATAACAGCAACAATCAGACTCTCTGCTTTCTGGGTGGATATGTTTTGTTGTTTGCAGAAGCCCCACTTATAACCCGCAGTTGTACAGTCCAAATATAGGTTGACTACCTCTGGGAGAAATCAGTTGAATCACAACTAATTTATTTTAATAGAAAATCAGTAACTATAGTATTTTGAGAGGCAGAATTTCTTAGAACCTGCTGAACAGGAAATGCAAACACTATTATTAAAGGCCTATTTTTCTATTGCTCAAAATATCACAGTTATCAAGCACTAAAGAAGTAAGGACACTAACATCACTTCCTGTAGCCAGCAGCAAATCTCTCTCCCTCTCCCTCTCCCTCTCCCCCTCCCTCGTTAGTTTAAGGATTGGAATAAAGGTACTTGTTTTTACACACAATGGGAATCAGAAATACTTTATAAATAATCATTCAGATTCAGAGATTATCCAGGTACAATATTCCATTAAATCACAATCTTCATTTCATCTTTTGAGGTTAGATTTTTAATTGTCTATGGGTTTTAGTTGGGATGTTTTAAATTTTGGGCCAAAGTTGTGTAATTCTTTTAAAAATTTTAAATTTTGTATTGGAATGTTTTTTTATTTTTGGCTGTGCACCGCCCTGAGTCCAGCAGGAGAAGGGCGGTATACAAATTTAATAAAAATAAATAAATAAATAAATAAATCTTATTTTGATCTTCGATCCAATTATGCTTCTCAAATGGTAAGCATTTAAAACCTATTTCAGTAAGATACTCATGTTTGTTTTTCTGGTACGATACATTCCTCAGAAAGACACAACAGGATATTGAAGTGGTAGCGTGGCTTGTATTCGACCATTTCTGATTTGATTCTCTAGCTATGGCCTGAATGGAAGATTTGATTAAACAGATGTTGCTATTCACTTTCTCTACAGACAAAGAGGAAGTGACTCACTAACGGGATTCCCTTGACTGGTAGTGTTGGCCTCATCAAGCACCTTCAACGGAAACCTTCAGGGTGAAATCCCTGCCAAGCCTATGTTAAAGTTCCAGTTTTAAAACAATGGTGGGAAGGTTCTGGCCTATGCCTAGAATAGTGGAAATTGTTGGAAAGGAAATGCATGTTCCGGTATAGTGAAACCTGCAGTGAGCTAGGGTAGAAAAGTGGGAGTCAGCAGGATCTACTTCCCCTTCCCAATGCCTTTCATCCAAGAGAGCAGAGATAGATTTCTCTCTCTCCAAGAATGCCCAAATACTATATTTGGCTTTTCCATGAATACTTTTTTAATGTTTGCAAATAATGTGCTTAAGGATTATCGTGATCTCTCATCGGAAAGGGCAAGGAACCATTTTGGACAATAGGCTTCTGTTTGTTGCAGGCTAACATCACGGTGCGCTGACTATCCCACAGAAGCAGAATACCATTTCAACTGACTCAGTGCTTATCATGTTGTCTAATATCTTTTATAATTACATTTATCATGAAAGCAATAATACTGAAATGGCCATAATTATTGTCTTGTAAATGGAAGATTGCTGGTTTGAAATATGTCAGAAACTTTTAAAAACATTGTTTTTCTCCCCCACCTCCACTCCTCTTCGTATTTTTTAAAAGGTTTCCTAGCAGTGCACAATTTGATTTTCCCAGTCACTTGAAACACAAGGGTTTCAACCACAGTTCACAAATAATCCAGAGATAATTTGGGCTATTAGGAAGTTGAGGGTCATGCCTTCATACCTCAATTGATGTGAAAAATGATGAAATAGTACACCAGTGGACGTAGTTAAAAAAAACCCCACTCATATGTACAAAAGGAAAGGTAAGAAGTTCAGGGAGTAAGCACTAAGTGTGGCTATGTCCATGCTCCCAAATATTAGCAATGTGGACTGAATCATATTGAATTGCTAATTTCTATTGTTTTACTTTGCAATAATTGATTCATGCAAGGATGCCACAATAGAAAATAGCAGCCACCTTTATTTCTGAACCATATTAAAATATTTTTGCCAGATGGAGTGGCTGCATTTCGTGCCTTTCTGAAGACAGAATTCAGTGAAGAAAACCTGGAGTTCTGGCTGGCATGCGAGGAATTCAAGAAGATACGATCAACTACCAAACTAGCTACCAAGGCCCACCGGATTTTTGAAGAATTTATTGATGTGCAAGCACCACGAGAGGTTAGCAGATGCAAGGCATGGATAGCTGAGCAGGATATGACTGGGAACTGAGGGTGCTCCTCTTGGGTTCATCAAATGTAGTACTTCAGCATTACCTTTAGGGCTGGGGATCAGTGGTGGGTTCCTCCCGGTTCGGCCGAGCCGGTAGCGGTGACGATATGACGTCACCGAACCAGTTCTCTTTGTTCGGGAGCTGGGCCCTCCCGCCCCCCTGCCCCCCCCCCACCGCATTATTTTTACCTTTTATTTGGCCCCACCCCCATTCTATTTGCTGTCTCCCGAGTCCCAGCTGATTGGCTAGAAGGAAAAAAACTGTTTAAACTCTTGCCGTGGGGCTTCAAAGGGCCGCCCTACAGCTGATCAGTGTAAAAGGCGCAGTGGTGGTAGACCAGTGCGCTCGAAAAACAAATGGGTAGACCGGTACCTCCAAAACAAATGAGTAGACCGGTGCCTCCAAAAACAAAAGAGTAGACCGGTGCCTCCAAAAACAAATGGGTAGACCAGTGCCTCCAAAAACAATTGAGTAGACCGGTGCCTCCAAAAACAAATGAGTAGACCAGTGCCTCCAAAGACAAATGGATAGACCGGTACAGCTCTGCAAGCAGTTAAAAGCCTGGTAGACCAGTACCTCTGCTAAATCCTAAAGAATTGTCACATGACCATCAAACCACGCCCACAAAATAAGCCACGTCCACAGAACCAGTAGTAAAAAAATTTAGAACCCCCCCCCCCCGCTTGCTGGGGATCCTTAGAGATCTGTGGTATTACTGTGGCAACTGAAGAAACCATGATCACTCTGATGATGTCTCAGTCATCTTTGAATAAACTGCACTATACCTAAAGTGTCTTTAAAATCATATTATTCTGAATATTTGAAGAAAACAAATCCAAGGATATATGCTTGCCTTCTCTGCATATCACTTTATCCACACAGCCCTGTGAAGTGTGTTAGATTTTGAGATAATCACTGCCTCACAGTCACTATGTTTCATGGTGAAAGGGAAGGATAGGAAATAATTGTGATTAATAATTATTTTCATACACAGACTGTTGTTTACAAAAATTGTAAGTTGGTAATACAAGTAGTCAATATTCTGTAATGTCATCAATACGTCAGCAAGCCTGATATTAGATTCATTGTTTAGATGAAAGCAAAATATTTGTTTCTGACTATGTAACAAAACTGCTACATTCAAATGAAAGGAATAGGAAAATAATTATTTTATATACATTATTTTTATGTTTTTCTCTCCTTAGGTAAACATAGACTTCCAGACAAGAGAAGAGACAAGAAGGAATCTAGAAGAACCATCACCATCATGTTTTGACCAAGCCCAAGGGAAAATTCACAGCCTTATGGAAAAAGACTCTTATCCCAGGTTCCTGAGGTCCAAAATTTATACAGACCTGTTGTCTCAAACCCAGAGGAGGCTCAGCTAGGGCAGGGATCAGGAGGAGGAGTGTCCTCCTTAGACACCACAAGCTTCTTGCACTAGCCACATCCATTTCTATGTGTGATGTTAAATTCATTTTCTTACAACAGCAATAGAA